TTTTTGAAGTTTTTTCAAAAATCGCTAGTAACTTAAAATTTTGGTTACATAACCACCTTTTGTGTTCTAACAAAAAATATTCCTTGCAAAATTTTATTATAGTATATGTTTTATCCAACCTTTGTACCATTTCAACGATACTTTTATTATTTGATCGAACAGCAGGATTTTTCTTCGTCCAATAGGAAATTAGTAAACCCCTCAAAACGTGACTTTATACGTAACCCAAAATCGTATATATCGATATATAAATAAGCAAATTTTAAATTTTCATTCTAAAATCCGCGGTGCTATCTCTAATACAAGTAATAGAGTTAGCAAAGTTTCCACTTGAATTTAAATGATTATATATTCAAATGGATGGTTAAACGTGGTATATAAATTTTGCATTAGCCTTTTTTTGATTTTTTAGATTAAATAAATTATCCTACGTACCAAAAATCATAAGGCATGCAAACAATATTGGTGATAACTGTACATAAACGGAGAAAATCAATGTTTTTTTATATGTAAATAAAATTTTTTACGTAACGGCTTTTAAGCAACTTTTCGCATTGTGCTCAATTTCTGATGATTTTATTTGCTTGAAAGTCTCTATTTCTTGAATTCTTGATTCTAGTTCCAATATAAAGCAATGGTTTTTGTTTTTTGGTACGATATGTGCGAGAAATTCTTTGATGATAACGAAGAATTGTGCCGTTGAAATTACTATTTTGCAATTTGAATTTGATACGACGAATACTGAAATACTTTGTTATATATCAGATATTAAACAATTTTAACGTACGCACGTACCCTTTTCACGAAATAAATAATTTATTCGCAAATTGAATAATTTATTGGATCACGTTTTAATCGTCATAAATAAATTAGCCAATTATATAAATGTCTTTCTATGACCGTACTTTACGCTAATAAATCAGGTACTTACTGTAAACGGTTGTCATTCAGAGCTTATACACTTACCCAATAATTTCACCTCTCAAATCTTCAACGAAGTTTAGTTCAGTGCTTTCTAATTACTCTATAAAAATGTCAACCGAAAAAAAAAAAAAATCCGCTATTGGTTAATATTAAATAGTGATTAACCATTATTTGTTTAATTTGAAGTATATTTCGTGCAATTACTTAGACTTTAACTTTGTCTATAGTACATTCTCAGCCAAAAGATACAGGCCCTTTTAAACATACTTTAGGCCAACTTCATAATGTTATTCGCTTCCTAAAGGTAAATTAGGTATAGCAATTTGCTTTTTACAAAATGATAATGTCTTAAAATATTTTCTCTTTATTTTTTGATCTCAATGATATAGGAAAGAGTAGATGTCCCACAAACTATAGAAGATCTTAAAGAAAATAATATAGATGTTGATCCCAATTCACAGCTTTATGAGCTTATGAAAAAGAGCGAAAAGATTATTTATAATAGTAATGATCGAACATTCCAATATAAGGTTAGCCAGTATTAACATTAAAAATACTTATCACTCATCTCGGCTTTAAACAAACTGAATTAAT